TTACATATTATTATCGTTATTAAGGATTTTTTATATTGACCAGGGATTACATTTATACAGGAAATGCATTTAAGTCAGTAAAGAATGCAAGAATCTCTCCTGAGAAAGGATGGTTTATTAAACAATCAAAGGAACTTACTTTATCATAATAGAAGTCAACATTAAACCTGTTACACACATACACACACACACACACACACACACACAACACTGCACACACACACACACACACACTCTGCATTAACAGGTTAGTACAAACAGCTGTATGTCAGTGAATCTCATTGTGTTCCCTTTTTGCTGAAGCAAATGACAATCCACAATGAAAAAATTATCTTTGCCAAATATGATCAGGTGGAATACCACTGCTTATCTGCAGTATCTGAAAACGTAGCGTTTTCTCCTTGTAGCTTCATTAAATCACTCCATGGCTTCTTTTCCCCTAACAGTAAAAACATTATTTTTATAGTGTTTTATGGAAATCTGTCCAAACATGAAAGTTTGAGCAGCCTTTTCATCGCATTAGCTGCACATTACTAGGCAAATTTTAGCTCAAAACTCTGCGGTTCACACACTTAAAAACAAACGTATTTAACAGTTTTATGGGAGTTATGGCCATATTTTACTTTTACAGTTTTGTTAGTAATGATTTCCTAAAGTTAAAAGCGTGTTACTCACATGTTTTTCCCCACTCTCTGGACGGGCTTTTTGATCCATGTTTTCGCTCCATGTATTCGAACATCTGACTGCCGCGGCACGGTGCATGCTGGGATACAGGAGGCTGCGAAGGATACTCGGATGTGTCCTCCGTTCGCGGCCCAGTCTTGATGGAAATTAGGCCGGTTTTAGGGCTGCATTTGAAGGCTGCATGACATAAAAATTAAATGGGACAGGCCTTGTTTCACTGGAAGTGACATATGTGGCCTTAAAACCAGCATTTGGAGGCTGCAGCCCTCGAATTGGGACACGGCCATTGATGTAGTCGTACTTTTGGTGTTGATATCATTGGGAAATTTGCCATTAGTTGACACAGTTTTCAGGCTCTTTCTCAGAACACTTGACACAGCTCTCACACAAACACACATGCTCACTGAATTCACCTTGTTTTTTCACAGTAGAGGCTTGTTCACACATGAAGAAGGACTTTGAGCCTAGTGAGGACTTCTACTGAATATAGAGACATGAGTGTGATGCACAATTTACACATGTGAATCTGGGGCTGGAAAAGCTTTGCTTTTTGTCTTGAAGCATTACTTTACACATTATGTTTGTGAATAAATGTACACATTACCCATGCCAGGTGAGATTTTGCATTATTTGATGAAAAATATAGCGAGAAATCCATGTTGTCTTTATGTACAATTAGACAAGACATTTCCATCTCACTGGATATATACTGTATACAGGCCTATTCATACAGTCTGTGCTCTGCTCAGGACATTCTCCCTGTTTGACTCATGTGTCAAATCCTTCTCTCTTAGATTTGAGGAGCTCACAAATTGTATTTTTTCCCATTCTGTTTGAGTTTCTATGCTGAAAGTGATAGGGTTGAGGGCAGTGTCCTTTACCACATGAGAACAGACCTGATCTCAGTTGATTGATCTCAGTATTGTCCAGACCAAGTTCATTCTACACTTCTATTTTCTAACATGTTTGGTTCTTTTGGCGTCTCCTCCTTTACATTTGGATTTGAAAGTCTCTTTATGGAGGCACTTGACAAAACTCCATGAGATGAACCATGTGAGCAGTGGGCGGGGCTAAACACTGTGATGTCATTCTGTAGGACTCTGGACTGAGCATGGATCAGAGAGAGCACAGAGAGGACGCAGACCCTCCCACCACCAGCAGGGCGGCGCTGGGAAGTGAAGGCTCTGTTGGACGAATTATAGATTTTAAAAAGGAGCCTGGTCTACAGTAAGTCTGAACCAATGATTAGTTGTGACTGTTGTGTGTGTTTACATGAACTAAAGAAATGTGATGACCAAAAACACCAGGTGTACATGTGTCACTTCAGTGTAGGACGTCTTGTCTTTCTGAGAGAAATCATCTCACATCAGTTTTACATCAGGAAATCCTACCAATGGCTTGAGAGGGCTGGTCTGAAGGACACACAGAGGCTCATTCTGACTGCACAGGAGCAGACCCTGGGCAATCAAACAATAGAGGCCCAGATCTACCAAACCAGACCAGACCTACAGTGTAGGCTGTGCAAAGAGGCTCCTGAGACAGTCCAGCACATAACTGCAGGTGTAAGATGTTGCAGGGAAAGCAAACATGGAGCGACATAACCAAGTGGCGGGCATGGAGAATGACAGAGCAAAGATCCTGTGGGACTTCCAGATACAGACTGACAGGATGGTGATGGACCAACCAGACATAGTGGTGGTGGATAGCCATAGAGCAGAGCTGTGGAGGCAGACATCACAATACCAAGTGTTGCTTAATAGCTAAAGGACTTAACTAATGTAAAACAATCATTGAGACAAGGAGTAAGAAGTTTGACTAGTTTACTGTGAACCAACCTCCCAACCCGGCAAACAATAGCAGGATAGCATCACAGGTAGCAGCATGACAGGAGAGAGAGAGAAAAGCAGTGTCCCAATTCAAGGGCTGCAGCCTCTGAAGGCTGCAAAGGCTGGGTCCTTCATTGGCCATGAAGAGAAAACTACAGTACTAAAAGTGGAAAATAAGGTCCAAATAAGGTCCAAATAAGGTTCCAAAAATCTAATTATAATCACATTTTAAACGTGCATTTAAACATCGACACTGAAGGATCTTCAGAGTGGACTGGATTATTGAGCGTTCGTTATATTCAGTGTCACTGTCAGTATATATATATGAAATGTTCTGTTTCTTTGTTCAAACCATCAGACTGAAGTGTCTGTGGTGAAGGCCTCATGAACACTTTGTAGAACCTCCTGAAGTATCTGACCTGAGTCAGAACAGTCCCATGTGTTTTACTGTGACTGAAGTGTTTTTTCTTCTGTGTCTCAGGATCCACCAGAAACATCCTCCATCTGAACCTGGTCCCAAGCTGTGTGTCCCTCAGGAGTGAGCGCTCGATGGGACCTCCCATTGCTTTTGCCACAGAGCCGTGAGTTTCCACAAGTGTTGAATAAAACAATAGAACTGAAATGAGAGTTTAATGTGTCTCTTTCACAGAGTGGAGCAGATGGATCCAGAGGTCTCCAGTGGTCAGCACCATCACACACAGCTGGACTCCATATTTAAGGTCTGTCATTCACTAAAGTTTGGAAATGTTCAGATGAATGAGAACTTGTTTGACACAGATCTGACACTGACTGCATTTGTGTTGTTTATAATGTGTCTGTTCAGCTTCTGGAGGAGGACATCTTCACTTTTGTCCAGAAGGAGCTGAAGAAGCTCCACAAGGTTCTGAGTACAGATTACCCAGAATGCTTAGAGCCTGTGGAGGATGAGGATGAAGAGCAGAGGAGCAGCAGTGAGGCTGTTCTGAAGATCACACTGAACCTCCTGAGGAGGATGAAGCAGAAGGAGCTGGCTGAGCGTCTGTGGAGCAGTAGGACCATTTAACATATTTAACAAGATGCTCACAGTCATTTTATCTTCTCTGAGACTCAGGCCTGTATCTGTTGTCTTCATTCAGGGAGTTATTCTGGAGTTTGCCAGCGTAAACTGAAGTCTAACCTGCAGCATAAGTTTGAGTGTGTGTTTGAGGGCATCGCTAAAGCAGGAAACCCCACCCTTCTGAATGAGATCTACACAGAGCTCTACATCACAGAGGGAGGGCCTTCAGAGGTCAACCAGGAACATGAGGTCAGACACATGGAAACAGCCTCCAGGAAACCAGGCCCAGCAGAGACAACCATCACATGTGAAGACATGTTTAAAGGCCCAGCTCACACACATGGACCAATCAGAACAGTGCTGACAAAGGGAGTGGCTGGCATCGGGAAAACAGTGCTCACTCAGAAGTTCACTCTGGACTGGGCTGAAGGCAAAGCCAACCAGGACATACAGCTGCTGTTCCCGTTCACTTTCAGAGCACTCAATGTGCTGAAGGAGAGAAGCTTCAGCTTGGTGACACTTGTTCGTCACTTCTTTAGTCAAACACAAGCAGAACTCTGCAGCTTTGAAGACCTCCAGGTGCTCTTCATCTTTGACGGTTTGGACGAGTGCAGACCTCCTCTGGACTTCACCAAAACCAAGGCCCTGACTGACCCCACAGAGTCGGCCTCAGTGCACGTGCTGCTGGTAAACCTCATCAGGGGGAGCCTGCTTCCCTCCGCTCGCCTCTGGATAACCACACGACCCGCGGCAGCCAATCAGATCCCTGCTGAGTGCATCTCCATGGTGACAGAGGTCAGAGGGTTCACCGACCCACAGAAGGAGCAGTACTTCAGGAAGAGGTTCAGAGACGAGGCCGACACAATCATCTCCCACATCAAGACGTCCAGAAGCCTCCACATCATGTGCTACATGCCGATCTTCTGCTGGATCGCTGCCACAGTCCTGGAACATGTGTTGAAAAGCAGAGAGAGGAGAGCTGCCCAAGACCCTGACTCAGATGTACATCCACTTCCTGGTGGTTCAGGCCAAAGTCAAGAACATCAAGTATGAGGGAAGATCTGAGACAGACCCACACTGGAGTCCAGAGACCAGGGAGATGGTGAAGTCTCTGGGAAAACTGGCCTTTGAGCAGCTGCAGAAAGGAAACCTGATCTTCTACGAGAGTGACCTGAGGAAGTGTGGGCTGGACGCTGCAGCAGCCTCAGTGTACTCCGGAGTGTTCACACAGGTCTTTAGAGAGGAGACAGGCCTGTACCAGGAGAAGGTCTACTGCTTCATCCATCTGAGTGTGCAGGAGTTTCTGGCTGCTCTTCACGTCCATCAGACCTTCATCAACACTGGGAACACCCTGCTTTCAGAGAAAACACAGAAGTCTACAAAGTTTAGTGTTAAAAGAAAACTAAAGCATCTTCACCAGACAGCTGTGGACCAGGCCTTAGAGAGTCCAAATGGACACCTGGACCTGCTCCTCCGCTTCCTCCTGGGACTTTCACTGTCGACCAATCAGAGCCTTCTACAAGGTCTGCTGACACAGACAGGAAGTAGCTCCCAGACCAATCAGGAAACAGCTGAGTACATCAAGAATAAGTTGAGTGAGGATGTGTCTGCAGAGAGGAGCATCAACCTGCTCCACTGTCTGAATGAACTGAATGATCGTTCTCTGGTGGAGCAGATCCAACAGTACCTGAGGTCAGGACATCTGTCTGAAGGTGGACTGTCTCCTGCTCAGTGGTCAGCTCTGGCCTTCATCTTACTGTCATCAGAAGAAGATCTGGAGCAGTTTGATCTGAAGAAATACTCTGCTTCAGAGGAGGCTCTCCTGAGGCTGCTGCCAGTGGTCAAGGCCTCCAACAAAGCTCTGTGAGTAACATTTGTTTAACAGAGGATGATTTGATTCAACTTCTACATAAACAATGTTTCATCTCTCCAGACTGAGCAGCTGTAACCTGTCAGAGAGAAGTTGTGAAGCTCTGTCCTCAGTCCTCAGCTCCCAGTCCTCTAGTCTGACAGTCCTGGACCTGAGTGTCAATGACTTGAAGTACTCAGGGCTGAAGATATTGTCTGTTGGATTGAAGAGTCCTCTCTGTAAACTGGAAGAGCTCAGGTCAGAGATACACAGAACTTCACTGGTTCAATGTTCTTTCAGCTCCAACAACATAACCTGATCCACCACTTGCATCCAGCCCCAACAAAAGCCCAAAACAAACTCAAACTCAAACTGCAAATAAACAGAGTACCTTCTCTAGAAGACTAAACCTCAACCTATAGCTTCAGTTAGGGCACCGAGCAACTTTAACACCCAGAAACGAGTGAGCAGTATGGAAACCCTGAACGGCAAGCGTTATTTATTTTATTTTAATTTTTTTTATTAAATTAAAATTGTCTTTCTTTTCTTTTCTTCTTTTTTCCTCCAACAAAAAGAAGAAGAAGAAGAATATAATAACACATTTTCCCAGTAACAACTCATTACGTAAGGCATTGTTGGTTGGACTTTGGTGATGTTTTCCTGTTTAGGTTATGTGGCAAAGTGCTGCACTATCGAGTAAAGGGGTTGGGGTTTGAGTTTTAAGATAGACAGGTTATTTTTTTTAGTTTGTTCTCATGTTTTCCTCATGGAGTGGTGCTGAAAGTGCCCAGTGAAGCTCATTTTCTTCCCAAGCCCAGGCATTGGGTGCTGCACACCCCTTTATGTGATAATGCAGCACTTTATCAACAAAATACAACTAAGCACATTTAAAGTACAATAGAAAAAGCATCTTATGCCTGTATTGTGATCAGAGATGTATTGATCTTCCTTCCTCACATAACTAAGAGAACACCAAAAGTAAAACTCAGGAAAAACTTATGCTTTCAGCAAAAGTGAACCCATCCACAGTTGGAGCAGGTGAGTTCAAAGCCCAGTTTCCCTTCCCACATTCAAACTCAGTGCCTTATGTAATGTGGTGTTGAACTTTGGCATTTAAACTGTACTGGAAAAAAAAAAAAAAGAAAGAAAGAAAACTGTTCCTGCAAAGAAAAAAAGAAAATTTCTGATTTGTTGGTGAAAAAAAAAAAAAAAAAACTGCAAGAAAAAGACAAAAAATAAGTGCCACCATTTCGCCTCCATTTCGACATCTTTTAGTTTTGGCACAATATTTTCACAGACTGGTGGTGGGAGAAGGCATGGTGGGAGGAGGTGCAGTGTGCGCGGCATGGTTTAGTTCTGGTTAAATCCTGTTTTAGTCCTGTTTTAGACCTGGTTTAGACCTGCATATGGGAGGGAGGCTTTGCTCTTTCATGGCCTGGTACCAAATGACCCACAGCCCAGAAGTTTCAGTCTGCAATCATTGCACAGCTTAAAATACAGGTGGTATTTATTTATTAACGTTTTTAAATAATTCATTATTTCATATACATATATATATATATATATATATATATATATATATATATATATAGAGAGAGAGAGAGAGAGAGAGAGAGAGAGAGAGAGAGAGAGACGTGGATAAAATTGTTGGTACTCCTCTGGTAAGAAAAATCAACAACTGAAATAACTTGAAACTGAGAAAAGCAATAATAAATAAAGATTTCTTGACAAATAACAAATGAAAATCAGACACGTTTTTGAATTGTTGTTCAACAGAATTATTTCAAAAAACAAAAAAAATGGTGGTACCCCTAGAAAAGATTGTAAGTAACTGGACAAACCTGGTGTCAGAAAGCTTGGCCTCAGTCATAGGTCATGGGACTTCCAACAGGATAATGACTCAAAACACAGAGCGAAAAACACACAAGAATGACTAAGAACAAAACACTGAACTGTTCTGGAGTGTTCTTCTGTGAGCCCAGATCTCAATTCTATTGAACATCTGTGAAAGGAGCTGAAAGATGCATCTGGAGAAGGAACCCTTCAAACCTAAGGAAACTAGAACAGTTTTCTCATGAGAAATGGGTCAAAATACCTGTTGAACACTCCAGAAGTCTCAGTGACAGTTACAGAAATTGTCGTTTGACTCAAAAGGTTGTGCAACAAAATATTAAGTTAAAGGTACCATAATTTTTGTCCAGGCAAATTTCATTATTTTGTTTTTTCAAATAATTCTGTTGAACCACAGGTGAAAAACAATGTTTGATTTTTGTAGGACAATTTTCAGTATTTTTTTATTTATTAATGCTTTTCTCAGTTTCAAGTTAATTTAGTGATTATTGTTGATTTTTCTTTTATTGCCAGAGGAGTACCAACAATTTTGTCCACGACTGTATATATCAAACCCCTAATAATAATAAATTTTCCCTGTAAGAGGCACAGGCCTAATACAGAAAGATAGTGTCCAGGGGCCTCATTTATAAAAGCATATGCGCTCTCTACCATTGCCAACCGCGGTATTTATGAAACTCGTCTTAAGCGTGGCGTTTTGCTTAACTCTGCGCCAACTCAGGACCTCCTGTAAGCTCTACGCAACGTCTGGAGACACAGGGAAAAAGCGACACTCGTGGAGAGGAGCAGAAGTGAAGAGAGTTTGAGGAAGTGTTTAATCAGGAATTCATCAGAAAATCCACGTATATAAAAGTGGCTTATGTGTGTGTGTGTTTATTGCCTCCTTGGTGATATTGCTGGGGAGTAAATGGACGGCTTTCTTTCCCTTATCCTGTGGCTAAAATGAATCCTTGTATGGTATTTTGTCGAATCCTTCACCTCGGTACCGTAGATAAAGTTGGAGGTGGTTGCGCTAGCAAGCTAACTTCATATGTAGCCGTTCTAGCACTTGGCAAGCCTCAACAACGCTTTTGTTCAAAGTTTTCCTTTAATCTTTGGTACAGGTTCATTCTGTCTTCAGTTATTTCAGTTATAAACTTAGTATTAACAAATCATTTAGTCAGACAGGAGAGTTTGTTTGCCTGCTTTACATGTTTTGGCTCCTTCTTGTCACCTTACTCAGAAGCATCACATGCTAATGTAGTGACGTATCTTGTAAATGGTCACATTTTTCTATAGCGCTTTTCCACCTTCAA